GGGGAGAAACACGCAGACAGCAGAAACGCCTGCGGCTTGGCTGAGGCCTACACAGGGTGGCTAGGATGGACTCTTAGTTCTGTTTTTTACTTTTCTTGCCTCATAATTACATACATTGCTGAAAGGTACAAATACCTCAAGAGACGGAAAATGGTTTTCTTTTTTTTTTTTTGAGACAGAGCCTCAAGCTGTCCCCCTGGGTAGAGTGCCATGGCATCACAGCTCACAGCAACCTCCAACTCCTGGGCTCAAGCGAGTCTCCTGCCTCAGCCTCCCAAGTAGCTGGGACCACAGGCACCCACCACAACGCCTGGCTATTTTTTGGTTGCAGCCGTCATTGTAGTTAGGTGGGCCTGGGCTGGATTTGAACCCACCACCTTAGGTGTACGTGGCTGGAGCCTTAGCCAGTTGAGCCACAGGCACTGAGCTGGAAAATGGTTTTCTTGACTTCTGGAAAACAGAACACAGAAAGAATCAGCAATGTTTCAAATGAAAAGCCATAACAAATGAGCTGGTTCCATGTAACTATTTTCTGTTCTGTTTGAAGTTAACTTTCTGATTAAAGTCCTAAAAGTTTGCTTTTAGTCCAATGGTACTTAATTTACAAGACATCAGAATTTGATAGGATTTGCTAGCCTTTTCTAATCTTTCCCTTGAAAGACAAACTTTGGGGCAGTGCCTGTGGCTCAAAGGAGTAGAGTGCTGGCCCCATATGCTGGAGGTGGAGGGTGTGGAGGGTTCAAACCCAGCCCCGACCAAAAACTACCAAAAAAGAAAGAAAGAAAGACAAACTTTGGACTCAGCCAGTTATAAAAAAATGCTTTCTGAGATGAATAAGTTATTTCTGACAATATACACTAAGACCAATATTTTATAATATTGCAACATACATATATAAACATGATTCACAGAAAATTGACCACCACCACATATTTGACAATATTTCCTATTCATTTTTAACATATCAAATAAGCCTAATATGTCTTTCTAAGGCTTTCAGTGATCTTAATATTCCAAAAAGACCAGATTTAGAGTTTCAATTTTGGAAGGTTTGTCAAATATCAAAGGCTTAAAACATTTGTTCAAACAAGATTACAAGCTAAAAGATTCTAAAGACAATCCTGGATAGTCAACTGGATCACAGTTGCCTTTTTTTTCTTTTTAAGAGACAGAGTCTCACTTTGTTGCCCTTGGTAGAGTGCTGTTGTGTCACAGCTCACATCAACCTCCAGCTCTTGGGCTTAAGCGATTCTCTTGCCTCAGACTCCCAAGTAGCTGGGACTACAGGCTCCTGCCACAACTCCCGGCTATTTTTTGTTGCTGTTTGGCTGGGGCTGAGTTCCAACCTGCCACCCTGGGTATATGGGGCCAGCGCCTTCCTCCCAGAGCAACAGGCACCACCCTCACAGTTGCCTTTTTAGTAGGGTGACCAGATGTCCTGCTTTTGGCGGGACAGTCCCACTTTTCAATAATTTGTCCCGCATCCCACGGCGTTTTATAAAAGTCCCGATTTTTGGAAAGAATGCACAAATGGGCAGGAGAACAAGAAGGGAATATACGGTTTTTGGCTGCTATGTGGCTATTTTGCCCGAATATGCGTTTTATATGAGTTTTATTTTTGTTAATATGAGTTATATATGAGTTTTATTTTTGTTAATTTTATAATGTTAAACTGTAATAATAACAAATAATTGCTGAGAAGTGATTATCGAAAACTGCTTATCAAAGTTTGCGTTGTTGTCAGGCCCTGCCCCACACCCCCATGTTGTCCTGCCTTATCGATGTTAAAATCTAGTCACCCTACTTTTTTGAGACAAAGTCTCACCCCTCCCCCTGCAAATGGCTTCAGAGCTCTCAACAACCTCAGACTCCTGAGCTCAAGTGATTTTCTTGCTTCCCTCATAGCTGGCATTACAAGCGCCCGTCACAAAAGCCCTGCTATTTTTTTGAGGAGCAATCTTGCTCTAGCTCAGGCTGGTCTCGAACTTGAGCTGAGATCCACCCACCTTGGCCTCCCAGAGTGCTGGGATTATAGGCGTGAGCCTTGGTGCCCTGACCTATAGTTGCCTTTTGGAAGGGAGGGCGGAAAGTGTGGCAGGTATGTGCGAAGAAAGTGGTTGGTGGGAAGATGTGTGTAGATGGGTGGAAACAGATTGATTTGTAGATTAACCTGAGAGACTGGTCTCCTGCTTCAAATGACCCTGGGGCCAGGTCTATTCTCATGTAATAAGAAAGTCAGCAGCTCCTTCTGATTCTAAATCAGGTTACTCAGGTTTTATGTTGATAGAGGAAAAACCTCCTTCAATGCTTTCTTTCTTTTTTTTTTGTAGAGACAGAGTCTCACTTTGTCACCCTCAGTAGAGTGCCATGGTGTTACACAGCTTGCAGCAACCTCTAACTCTGGGCTTAAGCGATTCTCTTGCCTCAGCCTCCCGAGTAGCTGGGACTACAGGTGCCCACCACAATACCCAGCTATTTTTTGGTTGCAGTTCGGCGGGAGCAGGGTTTGAACCCTCCACCCTCGGTATATGGGGCTGGCGCCCTACTCACTGAGCCACAGGTGCTGCACTTTCAATGCTTTCTGATCATGAATGGCCTTTAATTCAAAATATTCTTTATACCAAGGAATCATATTTTGGGTTGAAATTTCCATAGGTCGGCTCGGCCCCTGTGGCTCAACTGGCTAAGGTGCTAGCCCCATACACCTAAGGTGGTGGTTCGAATCCAGCCCTGGGCCCACCAAACAACAATGACGGCTGCAACCAAAAAAAAAA